TGCAATACCTTACATTTATCCATCTGCCACTCATCAGCCCATTGACCCAATTGATCAAGATCCCTATGTAATCTTAGAAAACCCCCTCACTGTCTGCTATTCCACCAATTTTGGTGTCATCCGCAAACTTACTTACCACGACTCTTAAATTCTCATCCAAATCATTTATAAAAGTGACAAACGAAAGTGGGCCCAGCACCAATCCCTGTGGAACACTGCTGGTCACAGGTCTCTAGACCAAGAAACAACCCTCCACCATTGCCACCTGTCCCCACCTGTCAACCCAATTTTGTATCCAATTGGCAAGCACTCCCTGAATCCCATGTGATCTAACTTTACTAATTAGTCTATCATGTGGAAACTTGTCAAAGGCTTTACTAAAGTCCATGTAGACAACATCTACCACTCCGCACTCAATCTTTTTGGTTAAATCCTCAAAAATCTCAATCAAGTTTGTAAGACATGACTTCCCATGCACAAAGCCATGCTGACTTTCCCTAATCAGTCTGTGCCTCTCTGAATGCATGTAAATCCTATCGGTCAGAATCCCCTCCAACAACTTAACCACCACTCATGTCAGACTCACCAGTCTATAGTTTCCAAACTTCTCCTTACAGCCTTTTTTAAACAACGGCACAACATTAGCCACCCTCCAGTTCTCCAGCACTTCACCCATGGCTGTTGATGATACAAATATATCTGCTAGTGGCCCCGCAATTTCTGACGGAGTTTACTGATGCAGCCATTCAATATAAAGATTACTCACATTGCTGGTAAAGATAATTTAATAGCAGATACATTGCCATAATGTAAAATTAGGGGAAAGATAATAAGGATTGTATGAAGTTTGTAACAGGGGTAAATGAATGAGATCCTCATGTTTTGATGTCTACATATCATACAATTTTTGATGAAACACCTTTTTGAAATGAGGTTTCATTTATCCTAATGGTGGAGGCAAATATAAATCACTATAATGTTTGGACTGTGGACTTAAAATTGGAAAAGATACTGTTTTAAACCTCGGGACTACTGAAGAAGAAGTTGCAGTTTTTTTCTTTTAAAAATGAGTTACTGGGTCTTATTGTGTATCGTATCTACAAGGTTCCCTTAATGAAGAGGTGGGGCCAGGGGCAGAATTCTGAACACCTTGTTCTCTGGATGTGTGGCCAGGGGCAGTTTAACACAGCAATAGACTTTTGATTTGTTTTCAACCAAGAACCTGAGTGTGTGCAGATGTGCTCAGCATAGTAACAACTTCTTGACTGGTTTCTGGGTGAGTGGCTACAGCTTTTTGTTTAGAGGATACATCAGAAACATTTAGCCTATCCTGTTCCTTCTGTGAGTGAGGAAGTAAAAAGAAAGCCCTAGCTGGTTTCTCTCTCTCTCTCTCTCTCTCTCTATCTATCTCTCACTCTCGCTCTTCCTCCTCCTTTCTCTCTCCTTCTCTCTCCCTCGGTCTCCAAATTCCCATCTTGAAAGGAAAAAAGGGGAAAACCACCTTCAGACACACTGAAAAGGTGAATATTCAACCAATGAATGACAGACTGAGAACTGATGTATCTACAACCTCTGCCTTCATCAAGGTGTTGTAAAGGAACAGAAGTGAACCAAAGGGAGACCTCTGATTGACACCTATAATCCAGAGTGGTGCCAGAAATGCACTTCACTGAGTAGATTTTACTCCTTTTGTAGTGATTGGAACAAGGTCAGCTGGATGGATCTCATAGAATATGAGTTCCCTGATTGGGGATGTTAACCTGGCTCAATCAGAGAGCCCCGGCTAACAGATATAAGCAGAAATGTCAGGGGTCCTGTTCACTCATGGAGCGAGCTCTGAGCTAGCTAGACCAGTGTCATGTACAATGCACGTGTAAATAAAGGGTGACTTGGTGACGGGATACAGGCCTTCATGGTATTATTTCACCTTCCTCACCCACAATATTTGTGTATAGTCTTTGTGTCCCTCTTTGTATGTTCATGGGAATGTTTTTTTTTAAATGGTAGAGTTTAAAGCTATAGAGAGTTTCTTTTCTGCTACCAATCAAAAACAATCTTTGATTTGACAATTAATCAATCTGTAAAACAGTTGTTTCCTTATGAAGGATTGAAACCTGGTGAGTGTTTTTTTTTAACATTGTCTCATCAGTCTGCTAATTTGGGGACTTTGGATAGTTTGATTAAATCTTTTCACATTTGTGGGTTTAACTTCCAAAGTACTACCCCCGTGAGTCGGGATACTTTCCAAAGCTTTCTATTCTCCCCCATTATGGTAGCCTCTTTTAAACAGTTCAAATGCTGTTTGGAGGTTATGTAGCTCTGATGACTGTACTGCAGCATTTGTGTTCCAGACCAGCTCACAAGTTGAAGGTAGATATAAAAGAAGCATTTACAGACAGTGAATCCTCCGTATGCTTTCACACTATTCCTAAAGAAAAAGCAATGTTTAAATATGAAAATGCTTGTAGTATGGTAAACAGTACAAGGCATGTAAAAACAGTTTTCCAATGAAAAGTTTGTATATTTCTGTGTCACTTTGCTCAAAAGAAACAACCTGATTACCATTTGCTTTAGTAAAGGAAACAATTGCCTCTTCAATTAGGAAGCAGATTATGTGAGAGAGGATGGAAGGAACTTTGATACAGAAGATATTATATGCTCATAACTGAGCCCATCAATTCCCAGCCATTCAGATGTAGTGCTCAAATCATTGCACACAAGGAAGTATTTTATGCTCAAGCGCAAGAATGAAAACCATTCCTGGACATGTTATAATACTTGCAGACTTGATTTCCTGATTGAGTTGTCGCTGAATAGTTTGAATTGATCATGGTAATGTGGTTATGAAATATTGTTTAGCCATGTGTGAGGCTGACATAATTTTAACGATATCATAAGGGAGAAGGGAAAAGTAGAGTCAATAAACATTATAGTCCGTTAAGGAATTCAGGATAAACATCTTTACTCAGAGAGCGATGACAATGTGGAATTCACTGCAGTGTGGTTTGGTTGAGGTGAATGGCATAGAGGCATTCAAGTGGATACCAGATAAGAACATAAGGAAGGAATAGAAAAATATGTTGATAGGGTGACACTGTGTGGGCCATAAACTCCGACATGTTGGGCTGCATCAATGTCTGTTTCTGAGCTTTAAATTCAATAGAATGTCCCGGGGGGTATTTATGTCACTCTACCACCGTATGAGGAATAAAACTTAAACTATTCTATTTTAAATCACAGTATAATAAAACACAAAACAAACTATTCAATGCATTGTGTTCTGCAGACACATTGATCATTTTGGAAATATATGTAAAACAGATCAACTTTAAAAGTTGCAAAAGACATTCATTATGTTATTAAGAGTTTAATTTGACATATTTTAAAATGTTTAATGCAAATGTGACTAAGGCTCATGGATATTTAACAGTTACAGCTCCAGGTACAGCTGAATAGAATAGGTTCAGCTGTAGTAAAACACTTTCACAGTAGAGTATAATAAAGCACCAGATAAGTAGGTATCTACCGTTAGAAGAATTACATTTTAAAGAACACTAACCATCCCTAAGCCAGCAGACGTCTTCCTGGTTGTCTGTCAAGGGTGATGAAAAGGTGCAGGTCAAGGTCAGAAAATCACCTTCTTTACCGAAAGAAGTTTCAAACCCATCAACAATGTCAACATCCAGCTCAAGATGACAGGCTGAAGAAAGAAGTACAGTGATTAGCTTCAATCGATTTTACGCATATACGTTACCAATAAAAGCAGACAATGCAGTGACACAATCACATAACATTACAAAATAGACCCCGGCGTTTCAGCCCATCAAGATTGGGACGAGGGAATTACTGTTTCCTCTGTTTGAGAGTTGAATATGAGAATGTCATTAGTTGGACAATCAGGAGAGAGGTTGAGTTGGATTTCTGTACAGCATCATCATTATGGCCACATTAGAAAGGGTTAACTATAATTAACCTTCACCTGACGAAGGGGCTACACTCTGAAAGCTTGTGACCTCAAATAAACCTGTTGAACTATAACCTGGCATCGTGTGACTCCTGACTTTGTCCACCCCAGTCCAACACCGGCACCTCCACATCATAATTAATCTGATAGGAGACAAATCCATCAGTTACTTACTTTGCAGCTTGAGAGAGTCACCTCCTGAATCCAAGCCTTGATGCTCTGCAAAATCATCAAACACCCAAGAGTTAAATAAAAACCAAAAGAAATGCGGATGCTTTAAAACAGAAATAAAAACAGAAACTGCTGAAAAAGCTCAGCAGGTCTGGCAGCAACTGTGGAGAGAAATCAAAGTAAATGTTGAGTTCTGAGGTTAAGTCACTCAACCCAAAATGTTAACTCTGATTTCTCTTCACGGATGCTCCCAGATCTGCTGAGCTTTTCCAGCAATTTCTGTTTTTTTCCCAAAAGTTAAAGGAGTTGTGATATTGGCCAGAACTATAAACAAAAGTGAGGCGAATGTCTCCCCAAAACTTTATACACGAATTACATGGAAATCATTAAGGTACTGTTTTAGTTTTATGACTTTGCCATTAGAATTGCAAAGCTGTCATTTTACTGCCTTTTTACCCATTGAATTGTGCAAAGTCTTTGTACCATCATACTAAACATTAAATAGCCCTATCAAAGAAAGTTAAACAAAGCCTAACTACTCTTCTAACAATCTGATAATTGTTAATCATTGCAAATCAGTCTCTCTGAAACAGAAATTAAAACATGTACGATCTCATTATTTTAGATGTTAAATTGTTGGCAGACATTAAAAAAAACATTTTAAATTAAACAGTCTTCTTACTTCTCACCTACTCCAACCTCTCCCCTGCAGAACGTGCAGCCCTCCGCTCCCTCCGCTCCAATCCCAACCTCACCATAAAACCCGCAGACAAGGGAGGCGCAGTTGTAGTATGGCCCACTGACCTCTACATCGCCGAGGCCAGACGTCAACTCTCCGACACCTCCTCCTACCGCCCCCTTGATCATGACCCCACCCCTGAGCACCAAACCGTCATCTCCTAAACCATCCACAACCTCATCACCTCAGGTGACCTCCCACCCACGGCCTCCAACCTCATCGTTCCCCAACCCTGCACCGCCCGCTTCTATCTCCTTCCCAAAATCCACAAACCTGAATGCCCTGGTCGACCCATTGTCTCCGCCTGCTCCTGCCCCACCGAACTGATCTCCAACTATCTGGACTCCATTTTCTCCCCCTTGGTCCAGGAACTCCCTACCTATGTCCGTGACACCACCCATGCCCTCCACCTCCTCCAGAACTTCCAATTCCCCGGTCCCCAACACCTCATCTTTATCATGGACGTCCAATCCCTCTACACCTGCATTCCCCATGCCGATGGCCTAAAGGCCCTCCGCTTCTTCCTGTCCCGCAGGCCCGACCAGTCCCCCTCCACTGGCACCCTCATCCGCTTAGCCGAACTCGTCCTCACACTCAACAACTTCTCTTTCGATTCCTCCCACTTCCTACAGACAAAGGGAGTGGCCATGGGTACCCGCATGGGCCCAAGCTACGCCTGCCTCTTTGCAGGTTACGTGGAACAATCCCTCTTCCGTACCTACACCGGCCCTAAACCCCACCTCTTCCTCCGTTACATTGATGACTGTATCGGCGCCACCTCGTGATCCCACGAGGAGCTCAAACAGTTCATCCACTTCACCAACACCTTCCACCCCAACCTTAAGTTTACCTGGACCATCTCTAATACCTCTCTCCCCTTCCTGGACCTCTCTGTCTCCATATCGGGCAACGACCTAGAAACCGATATTCATTTCAAGCCCACCGACTCCCACAGCTACCTAGAATACTCCTCCTCCCACCCACCTTCCTGCAAGAATGCTATCCCCTATTCCCAATTCCTTCACCTCCGCCGCATCTGCTCCCAGGATGAGGCATTCCACTCCCGTACATCTCAGTTGTCCTTGTTTTTCAAGGACCGTAACTTCCCCCGCTCAGTGGTCGAGAACGCCCTCAACCATTTTTCCCACATCTCCCGCAACTCATCCCTCACACCCTGTCCACGCAATAAGAACCAAAAAAGAATTCCCCTCGTCCTCACGTACCACCCCACCAGCCTCCGGATCCAACGCATCATCCTCCGACACTTCCGCCATCTGCAATCCGACCCCACCACCAAAGACATCTTTCCCTCCCCACCCTTATCTGCTTTCCGGAGGGACAACTCTCTCCGTGACTCCCTTGTCTGCTCCACACTCCCCTCCAGCTCCACCACACCCGGCACTTTTCCCTGCAACTGCAGGAAGTGCTACACCTGCCCCCATACCTCCTCCCTCACCCCCATCCCAGGCCCCAAGAAGACTTTCCACATCAAGCAGATGTTCATCTGCACATCTGCCAATGTGGTATACTGCATCCGCTGTTCCCATTGTGGCCTCCTCTACATCGGGGAAACCAAGCAGAGGCTCGGGGACCGCTTTGCAGAACACCTATGCTCGGTTCGCAATAAACAACTGCACCTCCCAGTCGCGAACCATTTCAACTCCCCCTCCCATTCCTCAGACGACATGTCCATCCTGGGCCTCCTGCAGTGCCACAACGATGCCACCCGAAGGTTGCAGGAACAGCAACTCATATTCTGCTTGGGAACCCTGCAGCCCAATGGTATCAATGTGGATTTCACAAGCTTCAAAATCTCCCCTCCCCCTACCGCATCCCAAAACCAGTCCAGCTCGTCCCCGCCTCCCTAACCTGTTCTTCCTCCCACCTATCCCCTCCTCCCACCTAAAGCCGCACCTCCATCTCCTACCGCCTAACCTCATCCCGCCCCCTTGACCTGTCCGTTATCCCTGGACTGACCTATCCCCTCCCTAACTCCCCACCTACACTCACCTTTACTGGCTCCATCCCCGCCTCTTCGACCTGTTTGTTTCCTCTCCACCTATCCTCTCCTCTATCCCTCTTCTATCCGCCTCCCACTCTCTCCCTATTTATTTCAGAACCCCCTTCCCCTCCCCCTTTTCTGATGAAGGGTCTTGGCCCGAAACGTCAGCCTCTCTGCTCCTCTGATGCTGCTTGGCCTGCTGTGTTCATCCAGCTCTACACCTTGTTATCTCAGATTCTCCAGCACCAGCAGTTCCTACTGTCTCAGCTCCACTTACTATCCAAGTTTTACCTGAAAATGCACACAGTAAATTCTATAAAATGATTCACTTTGGAAATAAGAAAAATCCTAATTTGATTGAGAATATCATTATTTTATCAGTCTTAAATCATTTTATTGAATGCAAAAGAGATTAACTTGGAGTTTTTTGATTTATGATTTCAGATGTGAAGTAGGAAGTGACAAGTGGATTCAGTGCAATGAAGTTCCTGAGAAATTATGCAAGTTTCCTATTGTGGGCCTATCGGAAAACCAAACGTATCAGTTCCGTGTTCGAGCCGTCAATGCAGCAGGGATCAGCAGACCTTCCCGGATCTCGGACCCAGTGACCACAACTGATCCTACAGCTGGGGACAGAATAATGAGTATGTGTTAGCCATGGAAGCAAATCATTCATTTTAATCAGCCCTGCTCGAATGTTTTGCCAGAAATTAATACTTTGAAAGAATTGATCAATTTTAGAACATAGAACATAGAACAGTACAGCACAGTACAGGCCCTTCAGCCCACGATGTTGTGCTGAACTTTTATCCTAAACCTAAGGTTTATCTAACCTCCACCCCTACCTTATACTATTATCCATATGCCTATCTAGTAGCCACTTAAATGCCCCTAATGAGGCCGACTCCACTACCCTCTCTGGCAATGCATTCCATGCCCCTACCACTCTCTGAGTAAAGAACCTACCTTTGACATCTCCCCCATAGCTACCTCCTTTCACTTTAAAACTATGCCCCCTCGTAATAGCTACCTCCACCTGAGGAAAAAGTCTCTGGCTGACCACTCTATCTATACCTCTGATCATTTGTGCAGCTCTATCAAGTCACCTCTCACCCTTCGTCATTCTAAAGAAAAAAGCCTTAGCTCTCTCAACCTTTCCTCGTAAGACCTTCCCTCCATTCCAGGCAACATCCTGGTAAATCTCCTCTGCACCTTTTCCAACGCTTCCAAAATTTTACATCGTTATACTAGTGCAGCAATTATTGAATTTTACAAATGGTGAATGAGTTGCAACATTTCACTTCAGAGTGCGTTCGAACGCTTCTGTCTTGTTTTCTTTCACTTTCTCACCTCAAAGTCCACTAGAGATTCTCATTTCTTCCTATCGCCCAAAAATGTATGAGGGTTATTACTGAGTATAAATTAGTAATCTAAACCCAAAGCCTCTACTATCTAGCAGGATAGGGGCAGCAGATATGTGGGAACACCATCCCCTACAGATTTCCCTCCGAGCTATTCTGCATCCTGACTTGGAAATAGTATCGCTGTTCCTTCAGTGTTGCTAGGTCAAAGCCCTGGAATTCCCTCTCTAACGGCACTGTGGGTGTTTACAACAAATGGCCTGCAGTGGTTCAAAGGGCAGCTCACCATCACCTCCCCTCAAGGGCAATTTGGGACTAGCAGTAAATGTTGACCCAGCCATGAATCACATATTTCAAAAATTGAGAGTCAAAACCTCTCCCTCAATTGTTTCCATTGTAGTCTGTCTCACAGAATGCAACTAATCAAATATAGCATCCTTAGAAACTTTTCTTTCAACCATTGAAGTTGCAATCAGGTTGTAGATTGTTATAGGGGCATAGCCTGTTCCATGACGGAGTGAAAGCCGAAATATAGCCCCTCAAGCTGCTGAGCAGGCGACTCAGAATCCAGTCATGAAAGGAGCAGCTCCAGCTGTTCAGCTGTTCACAAAGGAACTTGGAGACTGATGGACAGAAACCACAGATCAACATAAGTCTTCAAGGAGGAAAGGGAAAGCAAGGGATGTGTTAGCATAGTGGTAATGCCACTGGACCAGTAATCCAGATGACCCAGGTTGGCATGCTGGGGACATGGGTTTGACGTCAGGGTAGATGATGAAATGTTAATTCAACAAAATCTGGAATAAAGAGCTGACATAATGGTGATCATGTGACTATTGCAGTTGCAAAAGAAACCCATCTTGGTTATTGTTGTCCTTCAGGGAAGGAAATCTGCTGTCCTTATCTGGTCTGGCCTACACATGACTCCAGACACATAGCAATATGGTTGGCTCTTAACTGCCCTCAGAAATGCTCCTGGCAAGCCAACCAATGGGCAATATGTGCTGGCTCAGCCAGCAATGCCCACATCCAATGAACAAATTTTTAATAAAGCTCATTTATCTAACCCAAGTTGAAGAGATTGTTTCTAACATATCCATGCATTTAAATCATGAAATGGCCTCACATCTCACTTCTCTGTATCTTCCTCCAGGTCCATAACCTTAAACTCAACATCCTGGCCTTTTGTACAACCCTTCCCTTCACACCACTGTTGGCGGGGATGTTTATTCCTGTCTTGGTTCTACACTCTGAAACTCTTTCCCTTAAACCTTCTGCCCCTTGATGGACCTCGCCTGCTTTTTAAGACCTCTTCAATACCGACCTCTCTGATCAAGATTTTTAGTCACCCCTTTCTAAATCCTGTTCTTGGCATCCATTTATGTTTGATTCTGTCTCTGAGACATTATTCTCAAATCATAGTTTTTAAAATAAGGGCCAGCAGATTTAAAACAGCGATGAGGATAAATTACTTCTCTCAAAGGGTGATTAATCTGTGAATTCACCTCCCCAGAGTGCAGTGAATACTGGGACAAATTTAAGGAGATTTTTAATGAGTAACAGGTTGAAAGGTTAAGGAGAGTGGGCAGGGAAGTGGAGTTGATGACAAGATGAGATGAACCATGATTGTATTAAATGGTACAGCAGGCTCAAGAGGCTGAATGGCCTACCCCTGCTCCTAGTTCATATGTTCTTAATATGGAACAACGTGTATTTATGCGGCCATGGTCATTATTTGTTCCTTGTAAGAAACCATGCATATATCTCGCAGATAACCAACAGCTGGTTCTGGAACATTGGCCTCTGCATGAAAAAGTTCAAATAAAAATTTCAGTTCACAGTTTCATTTATAATTCAATATAATCAGTCTCAGCTGCATAAACTGCACAGAAAGGGAATGATCACTCTGAAGAGATGTGGGCTTGAAGAATTGCTTGTTGTAAAATACCAATTAAAGAGTACAGAATGAATTGAATCTTCTGAGATTGTGTGTAAAGTAAAGTTTAAATATTATGATCTGATCTTTGAATTAGTGATTTGTTTCTGTTATTGTGGTGATTTCCTGTTAATTTTCAACTGACATGATGAACATGCAAGCTGTTTATTTTTATCTCCTAACTGCAGATATCCAGACTGATATAGGCAACATCCTGATTACTAAAGATGAGCTTGAAGGTGAGTCTGACTTGCTGTACCTTTATTCTTTAACAGAATGTTAATATCACTGCCAAGGCTTGCATTTCCTGCCTGTCCCTAGATGCCCTTGATCCAAGTGGCATTTCAGAGGGCAGTTAAGAGTCAACCACATTGCTGTGGGTCTGGAGTGAGGATGGCAGATTTCTGTCCCTTAAGGACATTAGTGAACCAGCTAGACCTTTACAACAATCAATAGTGATCTTCTGGTCACCATGATTCGAGCTTCTTCATTTATTAATTGAATTTAAATTTCACTAACTGCTACAGTGGGATTTGAATCCCTGAGTCTCTGGATTACTTATCCAGTGTTGATATATGTTTGCTACATTTACATTACTTTGGCTCCCCAGGGGAAGTGCAGCTATTTTAATGGATGCTCATATTCATGGCTTGGATATTAATCTGGCACAAATCACAAAACAGCGGTAAACTATCTGATTCAATTAAATCAATAGAATAATCTGTTGGATGGATCAACAGTCAATGGCCTCATGTGACCACTCAAGTGAATCTAATAGATCCAATGACATTATATTAAAGAAGGCAGGGGAATTTTCCCCAATGTCATTGACCAATCAACATTTCTCAAGCAACATCACAAAGAGAGATAGTCTGGCCATAATCACATGCTGTTCGTGAGAGCTTGCTGTGCATAATGTGCCTACCTAGCTTCCCATATTACAACAGTGACTACCATTCAGAAGAACTTCACTGTAGAGTGTTTGGAATATGCTGAAGTAATGGAATATGCTACACTAATACAAGTCTTCCTCAATGAAGATCAGGCTGAAAAATCCATCACCTTGCCATCTGACTCAATCAGCGTTTGTTTTCATTATAATTTTCAAAGACATCAGAAATTGACAGAATCACAGAATTGTTATGCTTCAGGCCATTCAGCCCGTTGGGTTGACACTTACTCTCTGAGCATTTTGACTTAGTGCCAGTCTTCTGAATTTTTCTTGGACCCTTGCCCATTGTTTCTATTTGTATAATCACTGATTACCCCTCAGCTGAACCTACCTCCAGTGCATTTCCCGAAAGTGCGTTCCATACCTGAACAATTCACTGCGTGAAAAACTTTTTTTCACTTTACATTTGCTTCTTTCACAAAACGCTTTAAAACCATGTACACTAGTTCTTTACCAAAAACAGAAATTGCTGGATAAACTCAGTTGGTCTGGCAGCATCTTTGGGAAGAAAGCAGAGTTAATGTTTTGAGTCTGATGACTCTTCGTCAGTTCCAATGAAGAAATGTTAACTCTGTTTACTCTCTGCAGATGCTGCCAGCTGCTGAGTTTCTCCAGCAATTCTGTTTAATTTTCAGATCTCCAGCATCCACAGTTCTTTGTTTTATTTCCTCTGCTTGAAAACAATTTCTTCTTATCTACTCTGTCTAGATTGTTCGTGATTTTGGAAAATTCCATCAAATCTCCCATCAATTTACTCCTCTCCAAGAAAAACAGTTTCAACTTCTCCAGTCTATCCTTAGACTTGAAGTGACTCATCACTGGAACTATTCTCATAAACCTTTATTGCCTCTTGCCAATGCATTCATATCTTTCCTGTTGTGTGACACCCAGAATTATATACAGTGTTCCAGCTTGCATGTAGCCAATGTCCTATGTAACTTCACCATAACCTTCCTGCTCATGTCCTTTATGACCCTGCTAATGAAGCCTAGAATACTATATGCTTTATTAACAGGTCTCTCTACCTGTCTTGCCACCTTTAATGATTTACGTACATATCCACTCAGGTCTCTATTCTCCTGCACACCATTTAAAATACTGCCTTCTATCTCATTTCTGTTTTTCCATGTACTTTGTACCAAAATATATCACCTCACACTTCCTGCATTGAACACCATCTGCCACCAATCAGCCCACTCCACAAACTTGTCAATGTCTTTTTGAAGTTTAACATTGTCCTCCTCTCGTTTACTCATTCTGAATCTTCCACTGTGAAAATGCAAAGTACCCATTCAGTTCCTTGAGCATTTCTTTGTTCCCCATTACTACTTCTCCATCCTCAATTGTTCAATGTCCACTGTTGCAACCTTCTTTTACATTATTAGCTAGCTTACTCCCATATTTCATCCTCTCCCTGCTTTTTGCTTTTTTAGTTATCCTCTGCTGGTTTTTAAAGGTTTCCCAATCCTCTGGCTTCCCACTAATCTTCACCAAACTGAAGGCATTTTCTTTTGCCTTTATGATGTCCCTGACTTCTCCTGTCAGCCATGGTTGCCTAATCTACCCCTTAAGGTTCTCCTTCATCCTTGGGATGAATTTTCTGCTGTACCTCCTGAATGACCCCCAGAAAATCCTGCTCCACCAACTTCCCTGCTAGGATCCCCTTCCAATCAACTCTGGCCAGCTTCTCCCTCATGTCTTTGTAGTTCCCTTTACTCAATTGTAATACCGTTACATGTGATTCCAGCTTCTCCCTCTCAAACTGCAGGGTAGATTCTATCATATTATGGTCACTGCTCCCAAGGAGTTCCTTCGCCTTAAGCTCCCTAATTAAGTCTGCCTCATTACACATCACCAAATCCAGAACTGACTGTTCCCTAGTTGGCTTCAAAAAACCACCTGGCAGACATTCCATGAATTCCCTTTTCTTGAGATCCGCTACCAACCTGATTTACCCAGTCCACCTGTATATTGAAGTCCCCATGATAATTGTAATAGTGCCTTTCTTACATAACCTTTTCTTTCTCATGATTTATTTTCTCCCCACATCCTGATTACCGCTTTGAGGCCTGTACACAACTCCTATCAGGGTCTTTCCTCCTTTGCAGTTCCTTAACTCTACCCACACAGATTCTATGCCTTCCAACTCTATATCACTTCTTGTTATCGGTTTAATTTAATTCCTTATGAACGAAGCAACCCCGCCCCCTTTGCCCTTCTGCTTGTCCTCTCCATAGGACAAACATCCTATCTAAATATCCTTAGATCTCAGCCCTGATCCCCTTACAGCCATGTCTCTGTGATACCCAAAACATTGTACCTGCCAATTTCAATCTGTGCTACAAGCTTATTTACCTTGTTTTGTATACTGCATGAATGTAATTACAACACCCTCAGTCCTGCATTGACTGCCTCCCTTCTCCTAGTTGTTCCCTTATCTGCTGTTCTGGGAGTTAGACTCCTGACCCTTTCCATATTCTCTATCCTATTACTTGTTCTGGAAACATTGATAATCTTTGGTGACCCCTCCCTCTCCCTTTAACATTTGCCATAATTTTCCATGCAACTGAACCCAGCCCTTCTATTTAGGTTAAAGTCCTATCCACAGCCCTAGTTGTGCAATACACCAGGACACTGCTCCCACTGTGATTCAGAGGGAGCTCATCACATTGGAACAGCTCCCTCCTTCCCCAGTGCTGGGGCCAATGTTTAATGTATTCAAACCCGTTTCTCCCACACCAGTCTTTCAGCCACGCATTTACCTCTTTAATCTTGTTGACCCTGTGCCACTTTGTTCATGGCTCAGGTAGTAATCTGGAGATTATTACCTTTTTGGTCCTGCTTTTTAATTTAGCCCCTAGCCACTCATATTCCCTCAGCAGAACCCCTCTCCTCTTTCTACCGATATTGTTTGTACCTATGTGGACCATGACAACTGGAACTTTCCTCTCCCATTCCATGTTCCTCTGCAGCCCAGATGAGATATCCTGAACCTGGGCATCAGGCAAGCAACACAGCCTTCGGGAATCTCGATCTGGCCACAAAGAACAATGTCTGTTCCCCTGACTATACTATCCCTGGTAACAAATACATTTCACTTTCCCCCCCCCACCACCACCACCATGTTGAATAACTCCCTGTACCATGGAGTTGGGGTCAGTTTGAACCATAGAATCCCTACAGTGTGGAAACAGGCCCTTCGGCCCAACAAGTCCACACTGAACCTCCAAGCATCCCACCCAGACTCATCCCCCTATAACCCGCCTAATCTACACATCACTACGGGCAATTTAGCATGGCCAATTCACCTAACCTGCACATCTTTGGACTGTGGGAGGAAACTGGAACAACCCCACACAGACAGTCGCCCAAGGCTGGAATTGAACCTGGCTCCCTGGCGCTGTGAGGCAGCAGTGCTAACCACTGAGCCACCGTGCCCCCCCCCACCCCCCACAGCACCCACTCTCACCCACACAGGAAGCAAGAATCTCAAACTTGTTCGACAAGCTCAAGGGCTGAGACTCCTTCAGCATTATCTCCTGGATGCCTCTACCTGCCTCGCTTGTCGTTATGCCCTCCTGTCCCTGACCACTGACCGAATGTGAAGTAGTTAATCTAAGGGGTATGTCTGCCTCCTGAAACACAGCGTCCAGGTAACTCTCCTCCTCCCTGATGTGTTGAGTACTTACCAGATTAACAAGAGCTACAGAACTGAGACACAAAATAATTTATTTCCATAAACAACTTCAAATCCTTGCAGCATAGAATAATACAACATGAGAGGCCTTTCAGCTCATTGTACCTGTGATATCTCTGCTGCCCTGTTGTACCCCATAGCATTGCTCAATCCTTTTCTCCCTCAGGTATTTCTCCCATTCTGATTTGAAAATCACAGTTGAATTTGTTTTCTCTCCATTAAAGGTAATCTTCATACAACCGCCCAGATTAAAGGTTTTGATGGAGTGGAAGGACATGCTATGTGTCTCTGATCCTTTCATTGAGATGATGATTTCCTCTGAGTGTTTAGTGCAGAAGCTCTCACTTTACAAATCATGTCTATTTGTATCTATTGGGAAAGGAAACCTATCTCGAGGTATTAATTGCATTGCGTAGCGGGTGATAACAATCCTCAAAGGAGAGAAAATCAGGATAGATCACAAATCCAGGCATCTCATCACATCAGATCAAGATTGGTGTTTGGAAACTGGGCCCAAGGTGCATGGATAGAAGTAGGGACTGCAGAAAGTAGGTAAAAGGCAGTGAACGATGGAATTAAAAAGGGCCAGGAATAACTGCCTCCAACTCCAACTCAGGCCCTTTAAAGGAAGAGGACCCTGTAAGAGCTACTAAGAGCCTCAGTTCCAGCAGCACCATTGGGAATGCTGGTCAGTTCTGGAACTGCAGCAGTTCTGGACCAGTCACCGTTGGAAAGACACTGGGAATAAGTCAAATTGTGTCATTCTGATAGGCTCTGGTGCAATAGGAAGTCAATCATGAAGACGGGGGCAATCTTTCAGGCCCATGGTGAATTTGTGGGTTGGGGGGCTATCAATGAATGACAAGATGTTCGATCAAGAGTGCCCCCACCTTCCCCAAGCTCAGAAGAAAGATGCCAGGCACACTTTCTACCTTGTATAGTGCCCGCCCACTCCTGTCAAAGTACCAGTGGTACTCGAGGAGATCCCTAAGTGGTTCTTAATCAATCTCAATGGCCACTGGCAGGATGGCCATCCTTCACTTTGAGTGTCACTGATAAAAGTGCCACTTTATGTGATTATACGCACAGATTTCTGAGCATGCTCTCTTGGGCCCTGTAAAACATCAGCCGTTGACAATATTCTTTGGATTTTTGTGCCATCAAGGCCAGAGTGTTAAGTGTCCTTAAAGAATTAATAAAGTAAACTCTATCTGTTCTAGGAGATGTCCGTGTCCCACACCCTCCGACTGATCTTCAGGTGAGGGAAATTGGACAAACCTATGCTGCCCTCTGCTGGAAGGAACCTTGTCCCCGAGGCAGGGAACCTCTGATGTACTACGTGGAAAAGGTGAAGTGGGAATGTGTGCAGTGTCAGTGATGTGGAGCGGAGTTGTGGTGGACTGAGAAAAATGTTAGCACCATTTGTATACATGTCATTTATTAGTTATACTTGTCATATGTTTTTATGGTGACATTCTCAAGATTGTGCGTTCGGACATATTTGGCATGGATGGAGGATCCATTTCCGATTGACTTTCTGGAATATACGCCGATGTTGTTGTCTGGGACCGAATGTATCCAGCTTCAAGTCTGACACATTTCCAACAAACCTACAGCAGAAATATGTCAGACATTTTGATGCCATTTGGTTTAGAATGTTTTCTGTTTCCATGTAAGCATCGGAAATTACATTAAGGAAACAAACTTTGAGAAGATTGATGAACCTTAAGTCTCTAAATTGAATTAAATTTATGTTGCTTTCGTCTGAACCAACTTCCTGTGATTTGAATTTTTGATTTCAGTCAACCCAACTCTTTTAAAATAAATAGAAAGAAAAGAATTTGCAACTTTTGATCATTAGATCATAGGTTTGCAAGCAACAGGAATGCCTCAGGTGTGGGCCTATGGTTGCTTGGAAATGTTAATTATTGCTATTGACAACAAAGTCTACAAATGCCACTCTACAGCAGTGACCTTCAAATAAAGTCATAAATCCTTCATTTACAACTATGAATTATCTTCAAATACATGTTTAACCAGTATTTTTATTTTCTTTGTCCAGTCAGTCGCTGCAAGCAGCAGTTGGCAGAGAACAAACTGTGAAATTCCAGTGAGCTGCCCAAGGTTTGCTGTCACTGACTTGGTCAAAGGCAAGTTATATTGTTTCAGAGTCCGAGCTGTCAATAAATATGGGATCAGTGAGCCATCGCAGCCTTCTGAAGGTGTTTCACTTGGAAAAACCCCAGGTAAAATCACCCACCTGTACCGAGATGATTGGTTATTCAATCCAATTCAGATGCATATAAACCTAATCCAAATGAAGTGTACAGATTAAAGTTTAACATACTAGAAATAGAAAATGCTGGAAAATTCAGGAGATCTGGCAGCATCTGTGGAGACAGAAACAGAGCTAACATTTCAAATCTGATATACGTCTTCTTCAGAATGACTTCTTCATGACTCTGTCCTGAACAAGAGTAATATTGGACTCAAAACATTAATTCTGTTTCTCTCATTACATAAGCTGTCAGGCTTGCTGACCTTCTCTAGCATTTTCTGCTGTTATTTTTGATACGTGAGTGCCTTGCTAGGCTACTCAGGGGTCATTTAAGAGAATAGTTAATCCATTCTGTGGGTGTGGAGTCAGACTGGGCAACGGCAGCAGATTTGCTTCCCTAAAGGACTTTAGTAACCAGATGAATTCTGTGTAGGCCAAAGGTGTTTTGTGTACATTTCTCCTTTGCCATTGATAAAGGATTATGGAGACTGCTAAACCTTGTTGCATTCCTCCCTACACCCACTACCTCCCTCCAACCAATTTCTGACCAATCACACTGAACCTGTATGGTCTAAGGTTAATCATTTGACTAAGATTGAAAAATTATCTCTATTTGTAATCAGTGACTTCACATATTAAATATTTTTGGTTGCCATTTGATACCTTACACGGTTTCCTCCGTACTCCACAAGAGTATAATCCCATTGTCAGTTGCAATCTAGGATCCTGCTATGTGAGGCTAATTAAGCCTGACCTCGAGAAGTTTGAAAAATGGTGGGTGGTGAGTGTGAAACTAGAAAATTGATCCTATAATTTCTGCAAATAGCCCAATCAGTTTTAAATTCCGGAATCTCATTTGGGCTTTGAGTCATGGGATGTTTGCACTACACCTTCAGTGCTTTAGAGAAGTCAGGGGAAAAATCATTAGCCATCGAGAGCAAGTTTACTATTCAGGATAGCCAAGGTCACAGTAAAGGGAGGGAAAAGACTTCTGGTTTAAAGTGCATTGATTTCAAAACGCGAGGCCTGACAGCTAAGGCAGATGAGCTAAGAGCATGGCTTGGCTCTGGGGACGGGGTTATTACAGCCATAACAGAAACAGGGCTGAGAGATGGACAGGACTGGCAGCTCAATTTTCCAGCATATGGAAGGTACAGGTCTAACAGAAGTACAAGTAAGCGAGGAAGGGGAGTTGCCCTTTTGGTAAGGGAGGACGTAACATCAGTGCTTCGAGAGGATATTCTTAAGGGGTCATCAAATGAGGCCATATGGTTATAACTTAGAAACAATAAAGGGGATGGGCATGCTGTTGGGACTGTATTATAGACCCACAAATAGCCAGCAGGTTCTAGAGGAGCAGATGTGTAGAGAAATTGCAGATACATGTAGGAATAATACAGTAGTGTTGGTTGGAGATTTTAATTTCCCCTGTATTGACTGGGCTACCCAGAGTGTAAAAGGCTCGGATGGGATGGAATTTGTCAAATGTGTCCAAGGAAGTTTCCTAAATCAATATGTAGAGGGCCTTACTTGGGAGGGTGCAACACTGGACCTCCTCTTAGGAAACGAGGTTGGGCAAGTAACTGAAGTGTCATTCGGAGAGCACTTTGGGCCCAGTGACCATAACTCTCTCAGTTTTAACACAGTTATGAGAAAAGATAGGACACGTCCACAGGATAAGGTACTACACTGGATCAGGGCCAACTTTGGGGATGTTAGGCAGGATCCAGCAGAGGTCGATTGGGTGAGTCTGTTTGAAGGAAAAGGAACGACTGGCAAATGGGAGGCTTTTAAAAATGAGATATCAAGAGTCCATCGACAGAATGTCCCTGTTAAGGTGAAGCGAAAAGCTGGTAGATTTAAGGATCCCTGGCCGATGAAGAATGTTGAAGCTCTGGTCAGGAAAAAGAAGAAGGAATACGTTGGGTTTAAACTATCGGGCTCAATGAATCCCGAGATGACTATAAAAAGTGTAGGAGCACACTTAAGAGGGAAAGCAGAAGAGCAAAAAGAGGGTATGGGATGGATATGGCAGATAAATTTACAGATAATCCCAAGAGGTTCTATAGGTATACTGAGAGTAAAAGGGTGGTTAGGGAGAAAATAGGTTCCCTTAAAGATCAGCATGACCATCTTTGCGTGGAGCCACAGGAGATTTTTAATGAATATTTCTCCTCAGTGTTGACTGAGGAGAGAATTATGGATGCTATGGGAACAAGGAAAACAAGTGGGGATGTTTTGGACCGCAAACATATTACCAGACAAGAGGTGTTTACAGCCTTAAAACGTACTACGGTGGATAAATCCCCTGGGCCTGATCAAGTCCATCCTCTGATGATGTGGGAGGTTACGGAAGAAATTGCAGAGGCCCTTGCAGAGATTTTTGCTTCATCTTTAGCCACTGGTGAAGTTCCGGAAGACTGGAGGGTGGCTAACGTTGTTCCATTGTATATGAAAGGTAGCAAAGACAAGACAGGGATCTACAGGCCAGTGAGCCTGACATCAGCGGTAGACAATTTATTGGAAAGGATACTGAGGGACAGGATCAACCAACATTTGGATAATCAAGGTCTGATTAGGGATAGTCAGCATGGATTAGTGCAAGGAAGTCATGTCTGACAAATATTTTACATTTTTTCAAAGAGGTAATCAAGATGATAGATGAGAGTAGGGCAGTGGATATTGTCTATATAGACTTTAATAAGGCCTTTGACAAGGTCCCACACAGCAGGCTAGTCATGGAAGTTAGGTCACATGGGATCCAAGGAGAGCTAACTAGTTGGCTCGATGGTAGGATGCAGAGGGTGATATTTGGAGGTTGATTCTCGGACTGGAGGCCTGTGACTAGTGGTGTCTCACAGGGGTCGGTGCTGGGACCTTTGTTATTTGTTATTTACATAAATAATCTGGATGTGAATGTACAAGGCATGGTTAGTAAGTTTGCAGATGTTGCAAATTTAGGAGGTATTGTTGATAGCAAAAATTATCAAAAATCTCAGAGGAATCTTGATCAAATGGGAAAGTGGGCTGAGGATTGGCAAATACAATTCAATACAGATAAGTGTGAGGTGTTGCACTTTGGAAAGTCAAACCAAGGTGGGACTTATATAGTAAATGGTAAGGTCCTGAGGAGAGTTGTGGAGCAGAAGGACATGGAGTACAAGTACATAGTTTGTTGAAAGCGGCGTCACAGGTGGACAGGGTGGTGAAGAAGGCTTTTAGCATGCTGGCTTTCATTGGTCGAGGCATTGAGTATAGGAGTTGGGACGTTATGTTACAGTTGTATAAGTCATTGGTGAGGCTGCACTTGGAGTATTGTGTACAGTTTTGTTCACCCTGTTGTAGGAAAGACATAGTTAAACTGGAAAGTGTGCAAAGAAGATTTACAAGGATGTTGCCAGGGTTAGTAGACTTGAGTTATAGTGACAGGTTGGCCAAGATAGGACTTTATTCCTTGTCACGTAGGAGAATGAGGGGTGACCTTACTGAGGTGTATAAAATCATGAGGGGCATAGATAGAATGAATGCATATAGTCTTTTCCCCAGGGATGGGGAATTGAAAACTAGAGGGCATAGGTTTAAGGTGAGAGGGGGATGGATTTAAGAAGGACCTGAGAGGCAACTTCTTCACGCAGAGAGTGGTGCGTATATGGAATGGGCTGCCAGAGAAAGTGGTTGAGGCAGGTACAATAGCAATGTTTAAAAAACATTTGGATAGGTACATGGATGGGAAAGGTTTAGAGGGATATGGACCGATTGGAACTAGCTGAGTGGAGCACCATGGTCAGCATGGACCAGTTTGGACCGAAGGGCCTGTTTCCATGCTGTATTAGTCCATGACTCTATGACATGTGGCAAAGAAGTGAGAGAATAATAAAACTCACAAACAAGTCCCAGTGTTACTAGGGATCATACTTTAAAGTTTGCACAGATCAATATCAAATTGAGCAGATAGCCATGGTTACTAAAGTGAATTATCCTTCTACTACCCAGCTGCTCTTTCTCCACCACATGATGTAATTGCCGTCAGGAACACAAGGACGTCTGTGATGGTTCAATGGAAAGGACCTGAAGATGAAACGGACCTCCGAGGGTTTTATGTTTATGCTTGTGAGGTTGGGACAAACAACTGGGAGACCTGCAACAATAAACCTGTCAATTCAAAAAGGTGAGAACACCATCTCGCCAGGATGAAAAATCAGTGAGATAGAAATATATAAGACAGTTGAATGTAGCTGAAAATGATTGGTTAGGCTGCCGTATAATCAGCGGCATATACAAGTATATATTTAATGTTTTCTCAAATCTCTGCATATCTTGCAATTTCTCTTAATAGTGAAACATAAAAAGAATTCTATGTTTACCTTTCATGATCTTCAGATTATCCCAACATGCTTCATATCTAATACAATGCCTTGAATTGAATAATCATTAGCCAAAACCATTTCAGGGACTTTTTTTTATTCAGTCATGTGATGGGGCGTCGCTGGCTGGGCCCAGTATTTATTGCCCATCACTTGTTGCCCTGGTGAAGGTGATGGTAGTGAACTCTATACTAAATACAAACTGAAGGGACCGCGGACACTGTAAATCAGGAACAAAAACAGAAGTTGCTGGAAAACCTCAGCAGTTCTGAGGAAGGGTCACCGGACCCGAAACCGTAACTCTGATTTTTCTTCACAGATGCTGCCAGACCTGCTGAGCTTTTCCAGCAACTTCTGTTTTTGTTTGTGGTGGTGAGCTGCCTTCTCGAACCCCTGTGGCCCATGTGCTGTAGGTAGACTCACAATGCCCTTCAGGAAGGTCTTTGTGGATTTTGACCCAGTGACACTGAAGGAACAGCAATATATTTCCAAGCCAGTACAGTGAGTGGCTTGGAGGGGAACTTGCAGGTGGTGCTATTCCCACATATCTGCTGCCCTTGTCCTTCTGGATGGAAATGGTTGCAGGTTTGGAAGGTGGTGGTAAGGACTTTGGCAAGTTTCTGCATTGTATCTTGTAGATAGTACACACCAATATTACAAAATCCCTGGGTGGGCTCAAGTCACCAAGTTTTCAATTAACAGTTAAATGTGCAAACTGGTTGCACCACAGAGACTGACTAACACTAACCCTCACTGTGTCTTAATTTCCTCGCACCATTGAGTTGAAAGTGTTCTGCCAGGTATCCAGTGATGTCCCGTACTTGATGCACAAAAGTAAGAAAAAGGTGGAAACAAGTTTTCCAATGATCCCGTTCTGTTCCTGGTTTGTGTTTAGTCACCTAATCTTATCTGGAACTGCAATTCAAACTCCCCAATGTACAGGAAGAGAATGACCCTGATGCAGTCAATGTGTGAAGGCCAAAGTGATATTTCTGCAAAGTTTTATTCCTGACCAAACTCTGATCATCATTGAGTGAATTCAAAATTGAGGGATACACCCTTGGATGGAGTATTATAAAGCAGTGAAAGTAAGGGGAGATTGATTTTGTTGTTGTTGTGGTGAGAGCATTACTGACCAGGGCATTGACCAGACCCATCTCCAATTGCCTGGAAGGCAGTTAAGAGTCAATTGTATTGCTGTGGGTCACAATTAGCTCAGACTGGGTGAAGATGCCAAACGACCTTCCCTTAGTAAATGAGGTGGTTTTTCACATTTCGTAATTGGTTAATTCATCATTATTAGGCAAGCTTATTATTCAAGATTTTTTTTGATATTAAATTTTGGGGCAGTGATAGCTCAATGGTATTATCACTAGATTCTTACTCAAGAGACTCGGGCAATGTTCTGGGGACCCAGGTTCAAAACCCACCACGATAGATGGTGGAATTTGAATTCATTTCAAATCTGGAGTTAAGAATATAAAAATGACCATGAAACCTTTGTCAATTGTTGAGGGATAAAGAGAAATCTGGTTCATTTTAGGGAAAGAAACTGCTGTCCTTATCTGGTCTGGTCAACATGTGACTCCAGACCTGTAGCAATGTGGTTGACACTTAACTACCCTCTACACAATTAGGGAAGGGCAATAAATGCTGGCCCAGCCTGTAACACTGATATCCCATGAACAAATAGAGAAAAAAAAATCATTAGCTGCCATGATGGAATTCAAATCTATGCCTTTAAAACAGTTCTGAGGTAGGCTTGAAATGCTAACTCTGATTTCTCTCCACAGATGCTGCCAGACCTACGGAGCTTTCCAGCAATTTCTGTTTTTTTTCCCCCAAAGCATTCCCTCGGGTTCTGGATGACTAGTCCAGTGACCTTATCACCACATCATCACCTTCCCCCTGAGGAGAATGAGAGGGGCAAAGAAACAGAGGAACTGGTTGATTCCATTGCAGTAGAATGCTTTGTTTTATCAGCAGAGACATGATGGTGGCTGCATAGGACAGAATTGATCTTCAGAGAATCATTGCAACTGTGTCTGTTTCCATTCACCAGTTTTCCAGTCCATGGCCTCACTCCTGGAAAGAAATATGTATTTCGAGTGAAATCTGTCAGTCCAGCGGGGCTCAGTGACTATTCTGTTGAAGCTACGCCCATTGTAGTGAACAATCCCATCTGTGAGTATTGTGCTGAAGGTTCAGGCCATATTATTATTATTATTATTATTATTATTATTATTATTATTATTATTATTATGAAGCTTGGGTTTTAACACACACAGAACCATGAATAAATTTAACTTTTATTTTTGTTTCTATATTGTGCATACTAAGAAGGGAATGCATAGTTTTAAAAGAACAGAGAACAATACAGCATAGGAACAGGCCCTTTAGTCCTCCAAAACTCTGTCTTTCTTGATGCCTTTCTAAACTGAAAACGTTTTGCTTCTCAGTGATCTATATCCCTCTATTTCCTGCCTATTCATCTAACTGTCAAGCTGGCTCTTAAACCTTGCTATTGTATCTGCCTCCATCAGCTCTTCTGGCAGTGCATTCCAGGCACTTATCACCCTTTGTGTGAAAAAAACCTCAAATCTCCCTTAAACCTTCCTCCTTATTACCTTAAACATATGTCTCCTAATAACTGATATTTCTACCCTTGCAAAAAGACTCAGGCTATCCATTCTATCCACGCCTCTCATAATTTTGTAAACTTCTATCGGGTTGCCCGACAGCCTCCGATGTTAAAGGGAAAACAAATCAAATTTATCCAATCTCTCCTCATAACTAATATCCTCCAAACCAGGCAGTATCCTAGTAATGAACAGAAATCGATGGAAAAGCTCAACAGGTCTGGCAGCCTCTGTGGAGAGAAATCAGAGTTAATATTTTGGGTTGAGTGACTCTTCCTCAGACCCAAACTTCGAACTGAAACATTAACTCTGATTTCACTCCCTGGACGCTGCCGGACCTGCTGAGCTTTTCTAGCAAATTCTGTTTTTGTCTCTGATTTCGAGGTTCCGCAGTTCTTTCAGTTTTTACTTAATACTCCGGTAAACTGTTTCTGTACCCTCTCCAAAGCCTCCACATCCAGAACTGTACACAACATTCCAAATGTAGTTGAACTAAGTTCTGCACAGCTGCAACATGACTTGCCGATTTTCATAAGGCAAGCATGCCATACACCTTCTTTAACCCCTTATCCACTTGTGTGGTCACTTTCAGAGAACTGTGGACCTGTATGCCTATGTTGATGTTGATGCTACTAAAGGTTCTGCCATTTACTGTATTAGACCTGCATTAGATCTTCCAAAATGTATCACCTTGCATTTGTCCAGATTAAACTCCATCTGTCATTTCTCTGCCCAAGTCTCTATCCTAAATATATCCTGCTGTATCCACTGGCAATCCTCTTCACTATCCACAGCTCCCCCAATCTTTGTGTCATCCACAAACTTAATAATCAGACCACCTACATTCTCCTCCAAATCATTCATACATATTGCAAACAATAGGGGGCCCAGCACTGATTCCTGCAGAAAACTTTTAGTCACAAATCTCCAGTCAGAAAAACACTCTTTCACTACTACTCTCTGTCTTCTATGACTAAGCCAGTTAGTCCATCTTACCAGCTCACCATGGATCCTATGTGGCTTCACATTCTATATCAGCCTGTCATGAGGGACTTTGTCAAAGGTCTTGCTAAAATCCATGTAGACAACATTCACTGTCTTGTCCTCATCAGTCATCTTTGTCACTTCCTCAAAAAAATTCAGTCAAGTTTTTGAGACATGATCTTCTCTGCAGAAAGCCATGTTGCCTATTGCTAATGATCTTTTAAAGGGCAGTTGATTAGAGTTCAGAGACAACACAGTGTGAAGCTGGAGGAACACAGCAGGCCAGGCAGCATCAGAGGAGCAGGAAAGTTGACGTTTCAGGTCGGGACCCTTCAGATTTTCAGAGTTTCAAAAGTTCAGAGAGTGCGCAAGCTTCTTTCAGAGAGGAAAGTTGTTCATCTGGAGAGAAAAGGCCTGTAAAAGCATTGTGCAGATTAGCATTCTCCAAACAGCTGAAGAAAAGAAGCCCTGATTGATTTAGAAGTATGTAGAGTAAAAACTCCCAAAACTGAATGCTTTTGAAGAGGAGTTCAAGCAACCCATGGTAAGAAATTATGTAAGCTGAGTTATCAGCTTGTTTAAGGATCTCAGGGAGAGAAATTAACTAAAGAAATAGCATTGGTGAAAATAAAAAAATTGCTGAAAGGGAACCAATTGCAGCTGTGTCAACTGAGCAATGAACTTTAAAGTGGAAACAAAATGATTTTTCACTGAGGTTTGAGTATCTGTAAGATTGTTGCTGAGGATAGAAGTGATGACTATTTATTTATGATATTTGTATTAAGATCTTTTCAGCTAGTTCTTGTATAGTGAATATAGTTAGTGATTTTCCTTTAGTGTGTAATAAACTTTTATGTTCTTTTGTTAAAAGTACATTAACTGCCTCTTGTGGCTGACCACCACAAAAACACAATGCAAAAATAAAACGCACGATCTATCAAGCTAATATTTACCCTGGGATCTGACTTGCCCACTATTACCATCAGCTGGGTTCACAACTCTTTCTAGTACCATCTTTTGGAAATAAACATTTTCCAGAGAATAATGTGTGTTTTTATCAATTTTAGTTGCTATGGCTTTCAGCTTAGAATTCGAAATACAGAACAGCATTTTACACAGTCAGATACCAAGATATTTTAAACAATTTCCTTTGGAAATCCATGAACAGATTGTATTGCCAAAGAAGAGAGTTTTAAATAAGCCTTGAAAGAAAATCAGTGACTTTGAAATTTTCAGCTTCAGAGTTTAGTTGTCAAAATAATGTCTTTGATATAATCTGTGAAGTATTTTAAAGAGTAAACCATGGTATGGAAAAGCATCTGAGCGTTTGTGTAAAGTTTGTGTATTATTAGGAGATGATGAATTGAAATATTTATGCAACTAAATGCTTATTATGTATAAGAAATTCTATTTACATGTTTTGAGAGAAATAATGATTGTACAACAGAAATGTTGTGCAGTTTCATGTAGGTTTGTCTAGCACATCTATCTAATGTCTTCATGCTCATTCCTTGTATTGAATCCGTAATGTTTGCCCTTTAGATTTGCTGCTAAAGTGCAGTGGATGATTGAACTAATCGACAAGCAAGAAAACAATTCCCTTTTTTACTCTGAAAAAAGTACTGAGGTCTTGTTATGTTCATGACAAAACCTGTTGAGAAAATGAGAAGTGTACATTACCATATTTGAGACAGGTCAATCTATCCAGTCTGGACTACACTCATGAGAGAAACAAATGAGTGCAAGAACAGAGATAGCAGGAACTGCAGATGCTGGAGAATCCGAGACAACAAGGTGCAGGGCTGGATGAACACAGCAGGCCAAGCAGC